ATTAGTTAGCATAAATCAGTTAAATGACGAAAAATTAGGCGTCTATTTACTTGTGACCACTCAGTGTATATGTCAGCTGGAATAGGTCTACAAAGTTTGATCCCCATTGCAAAATACAACGCCCTCACAGGAGCCAGTGAAAAATAGTCAAAGCATAAAAGGGAAAAAAGAAATTTCCATAATTGTAAAACTTTATGAACTACGTCATCATAATGTAATATTTCCTGGGGCTATATTAAATAAATATACATAAGTATAAGAATAAAAAGTTGCCCAGAGCAGTAAAATAGGTGACTAGGTCTGTATTATAAACACTGATCTGCCCATTAGATTGGGTATGACCTTTGTAAAATGTTTGAGTCAACCATTGTTCCAAAGCAACAAATTTTTGTCTGTTCTAACAGTACATCTTATATTTAGAGTATAATATATTTAAAAGTATTAAAGGAGGTTTTGTCAGAAAAACAGTTGCAAAATTATTAGAAAGCAATAAAGTATAAAACTTTTCCAATAACCTCACATCTTTTTTTATGTCTTATATAAATTATGCCTTTAACTTTTAAAAATAAATGTTTTGTGAAATAAGTTGCAAATATATACATTACGTGGATGTAACATTGTTCAATTGAATAATCAACGTAGATCCCACTTTTATTTGATAAAAGAGTGACCCAAGAGTTGGCGGTAGGTAGTGTTGACTAGCTGCCTTATCTCTAGTCAATCAATATTGACTTCAGAAAATATAGTGTCTTGAAACAACCATCTAATTTTATTCATAAAATTATTGTAGTTAGCTGTCACACTCAGTGGGTCCAATTCGTTTCTGACTAATCAGAATGACGAAACTGACAAGTCTACAAAGTATGTAGTCATCCTGTCATTCAAACTGACGAGTCCAAACTTGTTTTCCTATCATCCAATTTAAACTGGTTCCCACTCTTGATCATGTAAACGTTTATTAAAATGGCTTACCAAACTTAACCAGACTTAGTGGTTTGGAATGCACGAAGAGACGAGGACATTTCCATAAATATCTAAAGTATCGGCCGATTTTAATTTAGATTCGTAATTACAAGGCACGAAGAGGTCTTTTGGCATAGCCAACTATAGTTTCTTCTGTCTATCGTCAAATTAGAACAGATTTACTCTGGATGGATAGATAAATATAACACGGTGATATTTAGGAGTATTTAACATATGACATGAATCCTAGAGTCTGAAGTTTCAGAGACTTTTTTTTTCACCTGATCGTCAGGAACTTCAAACACGCATTTACTAGCACCCACTCCACATAATATTTGTATATCTTTAATTTTTATTAGGCTTTCGAGTTTCTTATGAATTGCTTGTAAACTTCTTATATCCATTTGTATTTCTATTTTGTTTCATTAACCAATTCATATCCATCCTAAACATCATTATCTTCATCCATCATTTGTCTTTGAGTTTTCATGATGAATTCGTTAATGGGATAACATCTGAGTTATTGGTAAAATGTTATAGTGTTCTTCGCGAAGATATTTCTCCTGTAATTGAAGAGAAATTATTGTACATTTGTAGTTTAACATTTATCTGGATATTTACCACGCTTAATAGCTTATCACTTTCCATGGTTGCTTTCGTTTTGAAATCTATGGGAAGTAGGATATATAGATATAGCAAGTAATCGAAAGACTATCTTTCGTAAACTAATATTTGTTTTATTTGCGTTTAAGCGCAAAACTACATAAAAAGCTTCACGCATTGTGCCTATCGTGAATATCAAATCACGATTTTTATCGAATATGGCCTGAAACTTACGGCCGTAATAGTGGTCTTTATTAGCTTCTCTGATTTTACGTTTTTTCTGTCCTGAATTATTTTTCATTCCAAGGACTGTCATCTACACCATAGCTATCTATTTTATTTGTCATTCAGAACATCATCAGTAATAGCTACTTTTTAAAAATGTTTTTATTAAGAGTATCGCTCTCTTCAGGGTTATATTTTTATTAGAACTGACTATTTTTGCCCATTTCAGACTGCATCCTTGGTGAATGGTTCTTCTTCATCTTCCGTTTACTGCATAACTTTTCAAGCTATTTGGCACAATATTAAAAATTGCTTTTTCTCAAAAACAACTTCAAACGATCTAACATAAAAAAGTATGTCATTTTTATATCATTCTAAGCTTAAACCATTCATCAGCTAAAATATTTATAGAAGAGGTTTTTCTGTTTCTTCATGTTTTAGATAGCTCATTGTGTAGCTTTGTGCTTAATTACAAAACAAAACAAAAATTAAACTTCTTGCTTAACATTTATTACAAAGGTACAAACAAATATCAGCAACGAATACAACATTTATAATTAGCTGTTGTGGGTATGAAGTATGGATATCTCAAGTTAATTTCCACAACAGTTAGTAAAGATAACTAAACATTTATTAAATTAACAACCCTTTTAAGAAAATGAGTTAATATATAAGCTAACAAATTTATGTACGAAGTAACACGTTGTTCATTGCTACGTTTCTTCATATAGATAATTAATTAATGTGATGAAGCACCCTTCTTGGGTTATATTTTTTGAAATTTATAAGCGAATATTTTTCACCTGTAATTTCGATATATAGATATAACTAGAATATCAGGTACTGCTCTTTCCATGAGGGAACCTTCTTCACTGGTGACTGTTATAACATTGTGACTAAACATGTGTGGATGTTGTGTTCTTCTGAGTAATAAACAACCTCATAAACACTTGGTCAAACGATCTTTTTCAGACATTCAGAAATGTTATTTAACCAATTTTACTATAGTAAACAGTTTGAAGCCTATTTTTCTGTGTCATACTTCATTATTGAAACCAGTTATTAGCCACCCAGTGGCACAGCGGTATGTCTGCGGACTCACACCGCTAGAAACCGGGTTTCGATACCTATAGTGGACAGAGCTCATTGTGTAGCTTTGTGCTTAATTCCAAACAAACCAGTTATTAAACTTATTTTTACTTGTCGTTATCATTAAGCGAAGATACTATATTGTTTTCTATTTAGAAAATTACAAGCTTAATACTACAACACACTGTCAATAAATGGTAATCTGTATATTTTATAATAATGGCACTCTATATATGTATAACAATTTTTGGAAGTATCCAGTACTCCAAAGTCTTGTAAGTCCATTGTGCTCTATCAAATTCAGACTTTTGCCAGTCTTATTGTTTGTCTGAACTACTGGAGTCCACGTTCACATGAAAAGTTGTATATCGTGTTTTCGCTCTCGTTTGAGTCTTTAGGTAGCTTGGAATGCATCAAGGCAGCAATTTGTTGGGCTGTTGAAGATTGTTCTGGTTTTATGCTACTTGCACGTCCTTTGAGTATTTTGTGAAATACCTTTTACCAGTTCAGCTTTTATGACTGTGAAAAATGTATAATAATGGTCAAAGGTTTAAAACAAAATAAAACTTACCGATGGAAATGCTTAAGTGCTTTCAGTCTTGAAACAAGATTCGTGGACTCCAGAAGAGCAAGCTTTAATCTAAAGGCAGGCAACCATTTTCAACATCCATTTCAGTAACTAAGTGCTCTAATATACAACCACTCTATTTACGAACGTTGTACTCACTTTGTGTAATGTTTTTCGTAATATTTTTTTTTCTTACAGGTTTATTACTGACGAACCAGATAGACTAGAAAGGGCACTTAGACGCTGTAAAAAAATTACAGGAACTTTAGTGACGCTCAAACGGTGAGAACATGTTAATATAATTAGATATGAAATAAACTAAAAATAAAATCTGTGTCATAAACATATTTACAATTTTCTTTATAATTCAAAATGTCCTAGTGGTTATTTCTATTGTGTAGTATGTGTGTGATGAGCTTATTACATAATTTATATTTCCCTAGTTATATTTTATAGTCATTTTAACACATAATCGAATGCTTAAGTGTTATTTTATGAGCAATAAAAATATCACAAAATATTTTGGTTTTTTCTTCAAAGTTATCTGATGAGAAATATCGTAAGGGTTGTCTAGCTTCTGCTCCTTTCGACTCCTCTTCTTCTCCCCCCACCAATGGCACAGTGGGAGGTCTGCGGACTAGAAACCAGGTTTCGATACCCGTGGTGGGCAGAGCACAGATAGCCCATTGTGTAGCTTTGTGCTTAATTAAAACAAACAAACAAAGCCTCTTCTTCTCACCAGGGATAGCAGAATAAAACGTCAATAAGTACTTAAGACATAATGCTTTGTTAAGAATTTTCAGAAATTAATTGGTATCGGATTACTATCTATCCTCTGATCCCATGCATTATGATATGGTGAAAATAACACCATAAGTATTTTCATAATAATGTATTGCATTTATTGTCTCCACCAATGAAAATTTGGCTTCTATTTTTCAACTACAGAATTTTCAATGACAAAAATACAAAACTGGGTATGTGAATTAATTCAGTATTTCTTTTTTCGCGCTGTATCTTGTCATAGTTTGCCAATTGTAATAATCCAGATCTACATTTTTTTTTGTTTCCAGATTAGCCTCTGTGCAAGAACAGCGGCACACAGGTGCTCAATCAATGCCTGAAAAGTCATTGTCCGCCGATGGATCCAATTCCAATGGGGATGCTCATACTGCCAAAGTAAGGACCATTGTGTAACCCGTCAGTACCCAGAGTGAGTCTGCCCTTCCTGTCTTTCTAAGCCGCTGTACCTTTTCCCAAAAACTTTACCTTTAAAATGTATAGGTTAAGGTACATCTTTCACCGCAAGAGATGTGCCTTGTTTAAAAAAACAACAAAGATCTTAACTGTGTGCCTTCTACTTCTTAAAGGGTAAAACCCAAAAGTAGGTAACCTTAATTAGCGATTTTTCGAAATTTTCAATATCACTTTCATTGAGAATTAGCCATAACATAAAATCTTTTGAGTTTCATATATATATCATTTCGCAAAATTAAAATGAAACTACTATATATATATATATATACATATACCAAAAGTCTTCTCACTATTTTAAAGCCTAGGATCTCCAAAATTTCATCTTCAAGCTTGTTAATTTAATATATTCACCGTATGCCAGGTAATCATCAATCTAAACTTTTACCCATATACATCAGTTTTGTCTTCATGTTATATACTTCTATAGCGAGTTTTAAATTTACTTTTCCTTGTTCCCACTCACAATCCTTTGGTCCTGAAAATATATTGCTCTTTATTGTTACGTTTTAACTTTCTATCAATCTACTAAAACAGATTTTAAATTAGTAATTTTTCTCAAATTGTGAAAAAGCTTTTAACTTGAGCTGCTACATTTCATTCTAAGTCTAAAATCGGTAGTCGATCGTAGAGAAATTAATAGATGATCTGGCCATAACAATATCCGAAAAAAAAACACAATAAAAAGCACAAAAATTGCCTTTCGACGATCATTATATATTAGAGATTTCGAACAATACAACGTTTTGTGCTCATTGGTTCACCTCTTGCGGAGAAATTTTCATTTAAAAACCAATTCTCCCCCACCTACACCCCCGTATATGTCAGTATTTTGGAGAAAGATCGTTGCCTTTTGTTAAACTAGTCCCTGTGCAATAGTAAAATGTCCAAAAGTTATGTTTACCGTAGTCTCAGTCGGTTTGATTTGGTTGTTGTTAAGCATAAAGCTACACAATGGGTTATCTTTGTACTGCTCACCAAGGGTATCGAAACCCGAATTTTAGCGTCGTAAGCTTGCAGACTTACCGCCGAGCCACTGGTGGGGGCTGTTTCAACTGCAAGTGCAAGGTTGGAAGTTGTGATGTCAGCATGAAATATAAACGTCGTGAATGGAGTCCGATGGGTTGTTCCTGTTGAAATTAAAGCGATCATAAAAGGAGGTTTGTTTGTTTGTTATGGACTTCACGCAAAGCTACACGAGGGCTATCTGCGCTAGCTGTCCCTAATTTAGCAGCGTAAGACTAGAGGGAAGGCAGCTAGTCATCACCACCCACCGCCAACTCTTGGGCTACTCTTTTACCAACGAATAGTGCGATTGACCGTCAAATTATAACGCCCCCACGGCTGAAAGGGCGAGCATGTTTGGTGTGACAGAGATTCGAACCCACAACCCACAGATTGCGAGTCGAGCGCCCTAACCACCTGGCCATGCCGGGCCATATAAAAGGAGGTCGTCCAAGCATGTTAGAATTCAATCAAGTGAAAGAGTTTTCGACATAAAATAGAGTAATCAATTTATTTACCCTTTATTTTTGAATTTTAATTCCAATATGCAATTCTCGTGCTATTGGTGTATTGTATCCTTTCTATAACAGGATTTTCCCTGTCTTGTAAATCCGTAATGATGCACTGTGGCCAGCTTGTTGAAATTCATTAAAGTTATTTTTCCTCATTATTTACAGCTTTCTGTAAAGTAGCTTTGCTGCATGAGACAACATACAATATTCAAAGTTGTTTGTTTTTGTGCAAAGCTACACAGTTTGGGCTATCTGTAGGCTCTATTCACTAGAGGGAATCGAATCCAGAATTTTAATGTTGTTAGTCCAAATACTTACCACTGACCCACTGGGAAACGACAAAATTTATGCTTGATTTTCATCGTCTCTGCGTACAGATTATGTAATGTAGATATATATACATTTGTTTTGTTTTGGTTTCTGTTTCTTGACCGAGCGTGGTCCAATGGCTAGTGAGCCGGTCTGTGTACCATGGTTCGGGTCTTGTGACAGCCACAACAAAATTGCAATTTGCAGTTTGGGGCTATGGATACGTTAAGAAACTGATGCTCAAAGTCAACTATTCAATTAGAGTAACACAAGTGTTGTCAGTGGGTGGTGTTGACTAGTTTCAATCTCTCTAGTCAAAATTAGGTACTGCTAGGACAAATAGCCCTCGAGAAGCTTTATGCGGAATTCAACAGTATTTTTTATTTTGTCTTTCTGAGCACTAGTCTTTTAATACGGGTGATTTACCTTCAAACTTTGAAATATTTAATTAACAGTATTATTTTCCTACATCTGAATTTTCAGAACATTTTCATCGTACAGTCTGCCTTTTTGGGTTTCAATGTCTTTTAAACAATCTTCTCTTGTTCAAAAGCTGAGTAACTTTTTTAATGTTTTACTGTGTATGTTTTCGAGTTCAAAATCGTAGATACAGTTAGTTACAAATGTTTCATCTCAAATGCAGACAATGAAGAGGTCCACATTAGGACGTGCAGGGACGATTAGTTTCTTTTGTCTATTGAATGGGTTATCTGTTTCTCCGATAATAGCATGACTGGGGAAGGCTTTTATACAACGGAGTTTTCTCCTCATTTTAAATCTTCACAAAGCTTTTGTCAACCTACAGTTCACTGCAGGGAATGAAGTTTTGTCTTTAGAAAAACATAATGCTATCGTCTTAAGCTTTTCAAGTATTATAGCAAGCATTTGCTAAAACAACAAGCCGAGATGTGTTCATTAAATGTTTTATTACAACATAAAGTACAATGGTACTGCAATGATTTGTTTCCACCGCTTTGAACAGCAAAAGTAAATAAAACTGAAAGATATTATCTACGCAAAGCTACACCAAGGCTTTCTGCGCTAGCCGTCCCTAATTTAGCAGTGTAAGACCAGAGGGAAGGCAGCTAGTCATCACCACCCACCGC